TATGTATTGTTTAAAAGTTGGGTCCGGAAAAAATCATATCTAGCATTTTTGTCGCCTTCAAAAATAATTACCCATATTGTAAACAAAAATATTTAATTTAATAAACTTGTATAAATAATTTTAAGATTATTTTAATTTATATTTGTTTAATATTTAAAAAATATATAGTACTAATAAAATTAATTGAAATAAAAAATAATAATAATAAGGTTGATAGTAATATACAATATATATTGTATTTAAATAACTTAAAAATTCAAGAAATCAAAACTTCAATTTTTAACTTATTACAAAAAATTATTGATATTAATATTGTTAATATTTTAATAAATTTTTTTATTTGATTTTTTTTAATACAAAATTTAAAATATATTAATAAAATATAGTACAAAGTAAAATATTAAATCTATTATATTTGTTATTCAAATATTCAAAATAAAAAGAATAATTGCAAAAAAAAAAACCTCCCAATTTAAAATATTATATAAAAAAAAATAAAATACATACTGTATATAAAAAACAAAATATGATTTAAAAAACAAAAGATACTATTAAAAATTATAATATATTTAAACAAACTAATCAATATTATTATTCAATTCAAAATCAAATAAATTATTAGAAAGGTATTAGTTCTTCAGGATTAAGTAGTTTTTTGGAATACCCTAAGCTTTATTATCTTATGTAATCATGCAATAATAAATTTTCACTATATTTATAAAGATAAGAAATATCTCATTTAAAAAAAAATAATATAGAATATTATTTATTATATTACCTGAGCTAATTTATTCAATGCTAGTAAATATAATTATAAATTAGGTACTTTTTTTTACATATTTTAATGTATCATTGTATAAATCTTTTACGAATTTCTTTAATATATTTATTTTTAGACTTTTTCTAAATTTCATTGGTTGTTCCGTTGAATATTTAAACTCTTGATTTATCTTTTCTTTATATATTATTTTTATCAATGTTTAGCATTTGATTGATTATATTAACATTATTTTTTAGATACAAAACTAATATTTGACAATTTTAAGGTTATTGATTTTAGTAACAAATAAAAAATTAGTCTTGCTAAAATTTATGAAATTTCATTTAACTTAACCTTCAGTATTAAAACAATTACAAGTTTATACGAAAACCGTGAAAATTTTTAAGTTTAAGGTGTCCGAATTCTAGTCTTAAGAGGTGGTGCCATGACGTTTGGATGAACTCTCATTATATGATGAACGATCTTTACTCCTATCGCGACGCGATCTATCCCTACTCTTACGATGTGACCTTTCTGTGCTACGGCTCCGATTTCTACTCCTATCCTTATTCCTTTTACTTGAAGAGCCTTGTGATTTTCCTTTTATCCTTTCTGATGGAGGCGGTGAAACACTACGATATCTTGATTTTTGACCATTAGTACTCGTGTTATCCCTTTTAAACGATCTAATTGACTTTTTATCATTAGACGTGTTCGGAAATGGAGAAGCACCCAATCCTAGATGAGTGGGACGGGCCTTTGGTTCATACAACTCTTTAGGTCTATGAAAATAAATAAATAAATATGGGAATTAAGTAAAAGAAGCAAACATTAAAAGTACATACTTTATATTTTGATTTTTTCCAATTGCCATTCCGGGTTTCCAACCCATGCCTCTGAGCATCGCCAAACCAAATTCATCAATAGGAACACTGTCGTAATCGATATCAGCCTAAAAATTTTTCAAAGAAATTAAGTAAATTACACATATAATCGAATATAAATCATATATATCTAATCACCTCGTCTGGTAAATTCGCGATATCACGCTGAAAAGCTTCAGTTTCAGAAAGTTTATCTCTCTTGGCTTCTATATTTCTATTTTCTCCTACTTGCAGCACGAGGTTGGATTCTTGTTGTTCACTAGAATCACCTTCATCTGAACCTAAATAAGGGGTCATTAAAAAATTACTATGATTATTATAATTACGTTGAGTTTAAAAAAATCAACACACCTCTCATAAGTGCAGTCAAAGCTTGCTGTCGCAATGATTGTTCGTCATCTAAAGAATCGGAACTCATTATTATGGAGGCTTCGATACTATGAGTTACTGTAATTTCACCACGTATTTCGTCGGTGGCTTCATTAGATGCATCGTTTGCAGTCTTTTTATTTATGGTCAAACCATATGATGAACCTGTGTTAGTCAATAACTCAGTTGTAGTCTTTACTTCTTCGTTCTCATTTTGGGGCAAGTACCGTGCAGAAGCAAGAGTTCGATTTCTTTCCATCCAGTCATTCTTTAAAGTCGGGATTACTAAATCCTTATCATCTTTCTTTGGATTCAAGCTGAAAAGTTGATATATTATGGAGATTTTATTAGATACAAATTCAGTCTAGACTCTTGTATCGATCCTGCCTTGCGCACAACAAATTTAATGTAAAATACACTAACCAACCTTTGCAATTGATTGTCTTCAATGCATGTTATTAGTTCTATTGCTGGTTGGTCTGGATCCTCGGTAATACGCCGTTTTTTATAGGTTTCTGATGGAAAGACATCAAGATTTCTTCTTTCCACCTTTTTTGTTTTACTTTTCTGAAGGGTCATTGAAAATCCTCGACCGGAAGATGCATCTTGAGATTTGGACGGAGTCTCTTGTGACATTTTTGATCAATGTTTTTTGATAGGAATTCAACATGAAATAAGAATTTCGAAAAAATTACCGGTAACAATGTAAATTTCGGATATGCACTAGCCAATTGTAAAATAGGTAATAATATGCATATATTGAATATTTTAGTATTAGATTTTGAGATACAGTATTTTACTATACATGTTAACCTACCACCATATAAATATATTTTTGAAAAAAATCTTTTTCTGTAATCAAATATAGAATATAATAGTTTAATTACTTTTATGTACAAACATTTTAAATATATCTTTAGATATAATTTTGGAAATGAAAAAAATTGCTTGTTTTAGTATACTTGTTTTGAAATATATGTTAAAGTTATTTTCTACAGTTATTATTATAGTTTATTTTATCAAATTCTTAATTATATTTGATATTTTTAAAAATGCTTTAATTTTTTTTTTGTTTTTGTTATTTAATAAATTATTTTAATTGAATTCTTTTTAATTGATAATTTATTTTATTAATAAAAAGTATTAATGGATTTTTTTTGGATGAATTTCTTCAGTAGGTAAACATTATCTCTTTATTCATTATTATATATTGAAGATATATATTGAGAAAGAAACAATATCCCTTGTATATATTATTACATATAACAAGTTAAATGTTAGCTTGTCTATTTGATTACTATCTAATTAATATTGTAAAAAATTTTAAAAGCAATATTAAAATATCAAATAGTATAATAGTGACTATACTTACCTACTTGACAAAATTTTATGAAATCTTTTGATTTTTTGAATATAAAGTAAATGAAAAAAAAATAACAAGTATAATTAAAACTAAATTAAATTGAAGAGAACTATAAAATCTATAAGTAGAAACTCAATTATTTTTTCAAGAGAGCCTTCAAACAAGTATGTAATTCTATCTCTTCAGCTCTTTGGTTACTATAAATAAAAGAGTACACATAATATTACTTGTTATTGTAATTGTTGTTATGGTACAAAATCAGTTTGAATATGCTCAATTTTTATTTTGATTTTTATATAAAATCTGATTAAATAATTGTAGAATGCTGATTATCTAAAGGAGATAAACTGATTTCAGTTTTTTGATCAAGTGAAAATATTATAAAAAATATAGTAGTATAGCAAGTGTTATCAGAATATTGTAATTAAGGGTTGACTTGAAACAAACAATAGACTTATTAACTCTATTTAAGTATATATTATAAATAGTATTTGACTTAATAAGTATAATGATAATAATATGTATAGTTTTTATAATAGAGTAAAAGTAAAGAAAAGTACAAAAGAACAGAAAAATAGAAAACTGTTATAGGCCTTTTCTTATGTAACTGAAGAATAAGCAAGATTATTAAACTTCATCAGGAAATTTTTAAACAAAGATTTTTAAAGATCTTTGGGTGTAGACCTTCAAAGGATCTCTATCATTGTTAAAAAACTTTAAAGCAAAAATTAATATATTAAACTTTGAAAATTTTCAATTTAATTTAATAATAATAAACTATATTTATATTTACGTATTATAATTTAATAATATTTAATTTTAAATTTATTAATTATAAAATTATTTTTATTATTATTTAATTCTTGTTTACATTTATTTATTTGTTCAAATCTTCATTTATTGTCAAAGTTCTTCTTTCTAATTTTCTATTTTCTAATAGTTGTTTCAGATTATTCTCAATATTTTCACATTCCTCTAGATTATCTTCTATAGTAATAATTCATGAATTAGTCATTTCTTCATCTTTGCTATTTGAATTTTCTTCTTTGAATCCAAGTTCTTTTTTAATTTTCTTCTAAAAATATTATTAGTAATAATTTATAATATTTTGAAGATTTTTAAAAACTCATATTATTTTTTTCTACTTTGCTTTTAATTAACATTTCATTTATCAAAATATTTTCATTATTTGAATTAAGAACTGTTTGACATACTACAATAGTAAATGCCACTTGTTCCTCAAAGGCATCTTTCTTTGGCCAAACTTTTTCAAGAATATGGGCCATTATGCTTTGTGTCTCTCCTTTGACATTTGTGAAGGTTTTCAAAGCATTTGGCAATCTTTTGAGATTGTTTTCAGGTCAAAATATTGGTAGTGGTTGCATTTGTATTTATTGTATTCAAAAACTTTTTGCCAAAAACTGAAAACATGACATCATGAATTTTTGAAACCATAGTTTCACAAAGTGATCGATATTGTTTTACAAGCTTTTAAAGCAATAAGATATTTAATAACTGAAGAACTAAAGTTATTAATATTTATAAGAATTATCACTTGATAAATATGTTTTTTATAATATGTTTACTAATGTTTTCTTGTAAGGCCTTTGTAAAACTTTGAATATTCTTGCTGAAAAAATTCTTTGGTTGTTTAGCAAAAATCTTTATAGTCTGGATATATTTTTTCAAAAAATACTTGTTTCATAATACTCTTAATTACATGCTATTTAAATAAAATATAAAGTTTTCAAAAAGTTTTAAAAAAATTCAAAATAAACTTTATCTCGATAAAATTATATTCAGTAATTAAATATTGATTTGTATCAATTTCATTTTCCAGATGGGTAACTTTATTCTCTATAATTTTTTGCTATTTTAACAATTGATTGATTTTTTTATGAAGGCCTTCACAGGACTCCATGATTTTTTCAATGGCTTTATTAGGGACTAAATATACTTGAAGTTTCTTTGAACATTCTTCATGCTGATATATCAAAAGAAGATTTGAAAAAATGTTCAGGAAATCTCAATTGCTTCTGAGGTGTTTCTGTTTCTATTTCAATAGGAGTTGAGGATTTTTATTCAGTAGCTGGCTCTTGGATTCCTTAAACACTCTTTGTCTTTTTAGAGGACTTCAAAGTACTTTCTTAACTTTTTTCTTTTCTCTTTTTGGCGGAACCAAAAATAAGATTTTGAAACATTTTTCATGTTTCTTGTTTTTTGTTTGATATTAAAGAAAAAGTAAAAACTTTAGAGACCTTATATAATACAAATTCCAAGAAATTA